TTCTGAAAATCAAATAAACTGTATGTGAAAGAAATAACAATAATCAACTGTCATTCGACCAGTCCTGAAAAATAAACAAGACTATAATAATATAATATAGTTAGACTGATGGAAGGAACCAGAGTCAAAACCTGTACTGGTGCCTACATTACCCACGATGCAACTCTAATTCTATTAGTTTACCCTTCCGGTCTTCTTCTCACCGCTGGGTCTCCTACTCGAGTGCCCCCCCCCCCCCTTTGATCCAGCTCTTTGGAGCCCCGAAATATTTCATCCCCCATTTTGCACCACAGTTCTCCCAAAGACAAACACATTTCATGTGTGAGAAGGGTGGAATTTCCCCTTGAACCTCCTCTCATTACCCCGTCCTTTCATTACCATCTCGCTTAAACATAGAATGCCCCAGAAGCGTGAAGATGACATGTGGTGGTCACGTGTGGTCACGTGTACGGAGGAGTGGGGGTGACACAGCAGGACAAAGGCACAAAGGTCACACCCGGTCACTGCCGGTCATGTTGTGCCACTCGTTCATTAATCAGGGAGAAGCAAGAGAGAATGGGGGTGCGCGCGGTAATGAGGGGCTGGTTGGGGGGGGGGGCATGAGAATCTTTTTGTTCATATCAAAAGTGAATAAAAAGGAGAGTGTTGTCCCAACACAAACTGTAAAACAGCTCACCCCCCCTCCAACAAACCACTTCATCCTGCTCCGGGCAAATAAATCTCTGTTTTCCCACCCCCCCTTTCCGAACACCCCTCGACCTCTCACCCACTTTCTCCCCCAGGCCCAATAAGGGAGGGCATAAAGAGTGATAAACCCCTCCCTCATCTTCAGCCAGTCTGCTCTCACACGGTTTCCATTCCCGGCACGGGTGATGTGATGCCACCTTCACCCTTTAAAAAGGGTCCATCATTTACTTTCAGCATCAATTCATCTGAATTAAAACCGCTTGCACGCCACTTCACATCTGCTGGAGAAACACAGCAGCTGGCGAGCCGCTAGAGTCCCGTCAATAGGTGAATGAGAAACAGAAAGGGCTTTCTGAAACAGACACACACAAAAAAAATGACGATCCAGTGTGAAGAGAGCTTCCTGTAACCTCTCTCTCTATCATTCCCGCCTCCCTCGCTCTCCCATTCATTGGGGCCATTGTCAGGGTCCAGACAGGGACCATTGTGCTCCCAGCTTTTACTCTCTGGACGACACGAGACAAAAGAAACGGCACAGACACACAAGTGAAAATATACTAAGGAATACAAATGCACCTCCACAGCCGGTGCTTGTTGCTGGGAGAAAAACTGAATGTTTTGACGGTGTTCCTACAATGATTACATAGAGGAGCACACAATAATAGTGGATCAAAAGAGGGTTTTTTTAAATGCAAATTATGTTTGACACAAGAAAAGAAAAATGGAAGCAAATTGACATTCTGCTTTGGGGCAAACATGATGCAGTTTCAGAGGATGACGACAGGCAGATAACAGAAAGCCGAGGGGGGGGCTCTGCATGTCTGTGCACATTTAGTCCAGCTGACAGGCAGCGGCAGAGCAGAAGGATATTCTGAGCCGCAGCACATGCTGCCTGGTAGAATGCAGAACGTGCAAAGACTGAAACCAAAAGCTGGTTTTGAGAAGAATCTGGCTTGTGACCAATGACCACTTTAATCGTCACTTTTAGGGATCAAACGGTTTGTTTATGATGGACTCATCAAAAGCTTTGTGTTTTTTAAGAAGTAGATGACGGTTGGTCAGGAATGGCCGTTTGTCACCGCAGGATGAAACCTGCACAGTATTAAAAGGGGAGCTGGTCCAAGGACTTAAAACAAATAATCTTCATTTATTTATCTTTGGCAGCAAGTATCGAAGTAAGCAGAACATGTGTGAGGGCTGCTTTTGTATGCGTGCTTTTATCATGAACACACAGAAAAGGACTGACCTTATTGATGTTATAGAGTGGTTTAGTTACAGTCATGTTGAATTAAACATACGGAGCCGTTTTACACAGCCAAAATTAAATCTCCTAAAAGCAAATGTCCTGCATAGAAAAAGTCCATAAATTAGAAGAGGAGGGAGCCAAGGCTCTGCTCAGCGGCCTGCGGCGCTTCTGTGTTGCTCAGAGTAACGCCGACCCCAAAAACTACAGGAGGTGACGTGAGGAGGGGGGGAGGTTTTAATAGGGGAGAGAGACCACATCTTTTTCTAACTAGCAGCAGCCATGAACTGCACACTTTCCATGTGCTATGAGAGGCGAATGGTTCTGATCAAGAGGAGAGGGGGGGGGGGGGGTGACCAATAAAGGAAGAAAGAAAGAAATACTTGAGTGCTTTCCGGCTATGATTCACAACTGGGCGTGAAGGACACTACACACACGCACGGCCCCAATGACGTTTTTCTTGGGGAAGCGGACCCAATGACGTTTTTCTTGGGGAAGAGGACCCAATGACGTTTTTCTTGGGGAAGCGGACCCAATGACGTTTTTCTTGGGGAAGGGGACCCAATGACGTTTTTCTTGGGGAAGGGGACCCAATGACGTTTTTCTTGGGGAGGGGACCCAATGACGTTTTTCTTGGAGAAGAGGACCCAATGACGTTTTTCTTGGGGAAGGGGACCCAATGACGTTTTTCTTGGGGAAGGGGACCCAATGACGTTTTTCTTGGAGAAGAGGACCCAATGACGTTTTTCTTGGGGAAGCGGAAGGTCGTGAAGAAGAGGGGGGGGGGGTGAAACCGTCCATCCTGTACGAAGAAAACGCCTTCCCACGTGACGCTCATGTGTCTCTCATGGTGTCGAATTCACTTGAATCCAAACAGGATTCTCACAGACAATGCTAGACTTGTAACCCCCCCTTCCCTCCCCAGCCTGAAATGTCAAGTAACAACTGTAACTGTGCAGCGGTAACCTTCCATATTTAGCTCTCCTGGCAGCACGGATCGTGGCTCACTGTCGAGTGTGTTTTTGTTCACCACCTCGGCTGCCACACTGTAGCAAACACATGAGGCAGGATGGCAGCCAGCTGGCATCTGGCCATCAGGGGCAACTTTGAACGTGTTGCATTCTCAGGAACAAGTAGACATTCAGGTTAATACAGATACTCGGTGAGAAGCAAGAGTATTACCTTATCGGAGTATAAGGTCTAACGTTTAGGGTTCCAAAAGGGCGGAAAGTTTCCGGTAAATTTTCGGAAAGTTTCCACGGGAATTTTGGCTCTGGAATTTGGAAAAACAAAAAAAAATGTGTCAAAGTTTTGTCAAAAGCATATAACAAGGGAACTTAAATGTACCCTGGATGCAGCTGGATGGGAACATTGTCTGCCAGAAACATACATATAAACATAAAACGTTCTGTTGTTTTTGAACGTCTTTGCAAATTACATCAACCATAATTGCTGGTTACAATGATGGCGTTATCGGATAGAACCGTGTCTATTCCTTTTGAAATATCTAAGCAAAGAACGCAGAAAGATGTACATTTAATACAAAAAATGGCCATCAAGCAGATGATTTCGTGGTATCTTATAAGAGCGGAAGAGACAGAATTACGGATTTTCAACAGTCCTTCTTTCTCTTCTTTAAGAGAAGCAAAGGAGTAAGACAGCATTTTCGAACACACCGGACAGAATGACAGATTACAACTCCCATTCATTTCAATGGCCAATGCTATGCTATGCTAGCTACTTCGGGTAAGGAAGGGGGAGGAGCTTCATTCAAGTGTAGCTACTGACATAATCGCCATGGATACAGGAAAGCCTAAAGCTAAACGGAAGACCGGAGTGTGTGTGTGTGTGTGTGTGTGTGTGTTAGTTATTTTACCGCCACCTTGCTCTCCTGTTTTTTCCACAAAATGTTAAAAAAGTCAAAAACGTCTATTGTAAAAGTTGTATTAGAAATGTTTGCATGCATGTCTGCTTATGACAAGGTAAATACACTTAAATTACCCCAAATTTCCAGTTTATTCCCGTTAATTCCTGTATATTCCCGTGGAAAGTGTCCTGAGGTTAGACCGTCTTATGATGGACAATATCGTGATATTGGGCTAAATTTAATTGGCTTGTATCACAGGTGAGATGTTATGAAAGAACGTCAGAAAATCAACACTTTCCACCAACCACATTCATGCTCAGCTTGGATCGGGTCAGTTACACGTTAGCGCACCCCAGTACAGAATCAGACGCACACTAAAAATAGCAAACAAACTGAACGTGTCTGCACCACGAGAGAAGTAAAGCTCCAGCTGAGTAAAGGCGCAATGCAACAAATCTAAAGAGTCACATAGAGGATCATCAAAAGCGGGATCGAATGCAATGACAGGTTTAAAACAGCATCTCCTAAACGGATCGTTTTAAAAAAGGCTCGTTTCTTTCAAACTTCATGCAACAGTTAGTTAGCAGGTTAATCATTGCGCAGTGCTCCGGTGACTCCAACAAACTCTCAGCTCGCTGGTTTGCACCCGCAGCGGGCTGCAGGAAAACTTTTTTTTGTTGTTGCAACGGCAAAGTTGTTTCAGCAACGTTTCTATATGTGAAACGAGATGAAAGGCTAAACCACGAAAGGCCAAATGAAACTTACCTCGCTAAAACGGAGGCCTCCGACTGCTCCTTAGATTAAGCTGCAAAGTTGCTTGAGCGGCAGCTCCATCGCGATGCTGCTGCGCGTCACGCCGGCAGCATTGTGCTCGTGTTTCCGGTCCCGGACCTTCAAACCCAAAGCCTGTGACGATCGAATTAATATGCGCGACCTCAAAGTGTAATACGTAAAGCGGACAGGTGACATGGAAAGAGACTAGTTGTGTCGTTTTTGTTATGGCAGTACCAATTGGCCGAATATTCTGATCTACGTGATACAATGACGAAGGCAAACACATGTTAATGTGAGTGCTAAAAGATAATTTTACATAAAATACAAAATCATCCAACAAAATAAACTATAAATTGTAATACATCTTATTATAGATATTGTTTTCCTTTCTTCACAATGTTTTATTTGATATGTCAGCCATACAATCAATCACTTCTGACTGAATATACTTTATTTTGAAGTTCAAATCCTGCAGCTTCTGGTATTCATCTGTTTTAGTTTTCTGTAGCTTTGACACGTCTCCGCCGGCTCTGACGTCACTTCTTAATTGCATTCAGGCATCTTGGGGAGATCAAATAATAACAGACTTGCACACGAAAAGAGAAACTCACAGTTAGATTGCAGATATAAAATAAAGCAAAAGCAGTTTGTTACGGCCTGTTTGTTTATTAGGCCTCCATTCAACAGCAGTGGCATCACTGAACTTATATATTTAAAAATATGTACTAGTTGTACATAAATGTCAGAGCTAAACACAACAGGCAGCATCATTAATTCATCAAACACAATCTGCAGATACTGATAGTTAAAATGATTTTGTCTAAAAATACAATGAATTCTTGATGGAAATAAATCATTTATGAGGACTGAACCTGAAAAAGATGAAGTATGGACTTTTTCCAGTCATCAGAAATCCTCCCAGTTTGTGCTCAGCTCCATTGAGCCCTCCAGGCACGACTGACCAAAGAACCCTTAACCCCCAAGGCAATATAAAAATAATAAAACAGATCTACTCACTGCAACAACGGCAATAAGTCAACCTGAACGTGTCTTACTTTGGGAATAACTGGAGGGTTTAATGTGCCTTTACAGAGTTCATCCCAGTTTAATCCTTCAGACCGTCCGTGTACAAAACGGAGTATCACACCCTATAAAACCACGTTTCCAAGCAGTGGCCTCTGTCATTTTCTCCAATCTACTGAATCTCTCGTCTTACTTGTGCTTCTGCATGTCCTTGGCCCCATTTCTCTAACCCAGTTTCTCTGAGGGGTTGGTCCCTGGCAATGGAGAGCAAACAAGAACACACAAATAAAAATGCATGAATGACTTCTCAGATTGAGAGGGGATGTTACACCGCAGGTCGCCTCAACACACCTGTGATGTTGCTTAGATTGTTTGTTTGGAAAATAAAAAAGCCCTGTAACATACACAATGGTGAAATGGAAGACGTTTTCAGTATTTGTCAGAAAGAGCACTATAAAATGACTGTCAATAGCTTTTCACATTATAACTCATGGTGTCTAGTAGGGAACATTTACAACACCTTCCCAGTTTCTCGAATAGACTGGGGGCACTTTCAATGAGGTTTTTGGGAAAGTCGATCTGATCGATCCCACGAATGGTTGCAGTGAAAATCTTTATTGGGTCATTGTCGATGAATAGGAGCCTGCAGAGGTAACCAAGAACCTGTATTCTTCAATATACTGCTGGAAAAATGAGCTTAACAAAAAGTCCTGCAGAAAACTGGGCAACCACTCAGACATGAAAACACCAAGTGACCAGAAGTCCGCTGATCCACTATGGCCTTTGTTCAAAAGGATTTCAGGTGTGGAAATGTGCCTATGAGTTAACTTAAAGTAAAACCAATAGTACTGTGATTTCATACTGAAAATCAGAATTTAAGTTTGCAGCCAATTGCAGTGCCAGTTTTGCATAATGGTGCTCAGTGTAATGGGAAAAATGTATGTAACTCTTCAAAATGTTTCATTGAACGAACAAGGTTATAATCTTCCACAACATCATTGAGAACAACATTTTCAGACTTGACATCTCCATAGATGACACCTTGACAGTGAAGAAAGGTCAAGGCCTCAACAACACAAGCTGTGTACAGTCTGGTGCTGCATTCGTCCAGACATCCCCTAAAGCAGAGCGGTATGCAGAAGCACTGCTTTAAGCACATAGCAAACAAAACATGTAAAGTAGGAAGACGTAACACATCAAATCTTGTCCAGTCTTCATATTGCATTGTGATGAAAACGACAGGACTATGAATATTTTATCAATATAAACACTTACTTAACTTTAGACTATATAAATCCCCACCAAGACATTCCTCTGTCAAAATTCTCTAAAGACTTTATGCAGCCTGCAATCAATGCAAAAATACAAGTATGTAAATGATCATAATGCAATCAAAACAATCCTATATCGATAACTGTTGAATAACAGACACCTGGCTATGAATGGACAATGAGCCTCCGTTAGGGTGCGCTCTTCTCTCAGGATGTGCTGTTGTTGGATGTTGCTGAGGATCAGCTTGTTCTTAAGGACCCTCGTGGCATAAAGACACTTGATGTTGCTCTTTACTTGCACCTGACAGAGGAGGGAAATCAATAGATTACATTATAGAAACATGGAATCCGGGAGAGGAAGCTGCAGGTCGGCTGTGTGTCCTTATGTGTGTGAGCTGCTATGAGATCGACCCTCACCAGGTCTACGTGACCAAACTCCCCAACGGCGACAGTGCAAATAATCTGGAAATCACTTATGGTGGGAGATGAGAAGAGATCAGCATCCTTTTCAGACCTGTTTACAAGCAAAAGACAGCTGAACCTTTATTCTATAGGTGCACATTACATGTAATTATCATAGAAAGTAGTATTGTAGCCTCTGCTCCTCACTCGATTTTGGATTCGGGGCGATGCCGCACCTCACGACTGCTGTCAAATACCAATCCATCAATGACGTCCCTGAAGGCCCTGAAACACAGAAGCACATGAACATTCTCTGGCGAAGCACATCAGTTCATGACCAATTTGTAGTACAGTGTAGCAACTGATATTGATAATACAGGTTTGGCTATTTTTCTTATTCTTGACTTACTTAGGAGATATCCTTTAGAATGTTTTTCTGGTTTGATCCAACCAATCATTGTTTTCAGAAACATAAGACGGCATTGAAGTACGTTGCCCTTTTTGTAAGGAGCTTGGAGAAACTCTTGACCATAACTACTGTGGAGTAAATCTTCATAATTAATTTCTGATCACTCCCTTAATTGATAAAACGGGTAATTATTTATTATTTGGAAAAATGTATCATACTTGTTTTTGTATTACAACCATTGGTCCCTCTGGCTGTAAGTTGTATTCAGAAGGCATTTGTAAACTTTGATTCAATAAAGTTGGTAAAAAAAAATATATATAAATATTTATTATTTAAAAAAAATATGTATATATATATATATATTTTTTTTTTTAACATAAAAAACACTATTGTTTTGTTGTTGTTAACACAAAATAGTGATTTAACTTCCCAATCAGCAATACCATTCACGCTCTGAACATCCAACATCCAAGAAAAATGATAATAATGCAAAAAGAAAATTATATCAGGATGAGATAAAAGTCCATTTTCACCATTATGTGCTTTCGTACCATTTCCATAATGTCCTCTGAAAGTACATTATTTTCTCCTTACCCCGAAAGAGCTTCCTCTCCAAACCGCTGTCTCTCAGAGAGCTCACAGAGAACAATCTGCTGTGCGTGGCCTGGCTTCCTCTCTGTCACTTTCACCTGGCACGCACAAAAGAGAGAGGCAGTGAATAGTGCTGGAGAGCAGCGCACAAAGGACCAAAGTCTATTACCACCATTATAATAAAATTCCTAAAGCTGCCTTGACATTTCGTCCTCCACAGTCTGAATCGTTTCATGCTACTTTACCTGGCCTTTGCTTAGGATGTAAAACTTGTCTCCTGTGGCTCCTTGTCGAAGGATGTCGTCACCTCCAGTGTAGCGTGTCTGTGGAATTTGATTAAAGACAGACGAGCAAAGTGTAAGAACTATTTTAAATAAGCAGAAAAAAAACAGCAAGAAAAAAGAACCAACAATATATTAAATAAATAGTTGAGGCCCAGTAAAAATCCACGACTAATTATGATTCCACCCCAGCACCTGTCTGTAAAATATCAAATATTTAAAAAAGAATATCAATAAATATCATGTTTACACGCGGTGCGCACACAAAACCAGCTGGATTCTGTTTGAATAATGAGGGGTGGCTACACAAAAAGCTAATCTGTACCTGCTTCATGAGAGCAGACGCTTTCATGATGACATGGTCGGGCAGAGACTGGAGGAAGGGGATGCTGCAGACACAATGACAGGCTTTAAAATGGCTTTCATTTTTTTCCTAAGAAACATTTCATAGGAATGGTGATATTTTGGTCGGTGTTAAAGGCCCAAATGCAGCACGGTGCCGACTGATAAACAACATGACCATGGTGATATCGTGCTGCAGCTTCCCGGCGCGCTCTGTGACAAATGAGGTGTATTGGTCCAATGTTCACCTGGTAAGCAGCTCCATTGAATGAGGAGGGCGCTTGAGACCACTCTCCCTGAGAATAGTCTGGGACTGACTCCTGCGGTCAATAACTCCCAGCTTGCTGTCCGTTTGAGCTGCGGTTCAACAGACACAGGAACGGTTGTTCTTATGGCGACACTGGAGCTCAGGTGGAAACACAATCATGAAGGTCTATTGAAACAGTCCTGCAGTTACAGGCTACGAGGGCTCCGATTTCTCCTTTGGTCCTTCAACAGGTCTTTTTTTTTTAAATGACGATTGGATCAAACTCTGAGACCTGAGAGAACAAAGGCACGATAGACCACTAGTGTCATCTTTAAGGGAAACTTATTAAACGGCTTGGATGGAGCATTGTTTTGAAAGTAAAAGAGAGAACAAAGCTCTTACTCTTTGCTCTTCTCATAGCTTTTGTGTGAAACCATGGTGAGAGTCACTGGGTCCAGAGTGAAGGGCTCAGAAATAACAGTTTTTCTATTGGCTGGATGCAAGTCCTCACTTTGGGCTGAGCAAGCTGCTGGAAAAACAAAACAAATACACACACACGATAAGACTTGGGTTACCTGCTTTCGGCTTTAATAAAAGGCAACATTCATGAGAACCTGTATATTCTGTACCTGCGCTGGCTGCAGAGGATCCTGGGAGGGAGACGGTGGCTTTGTGGCGATCCAGTTCTTCCTGCAGTCTCCGAATGAGTTCATCCTTTGTATCCAACTCTGACTCTAACTCATCTATGAGTGTGTCCCTCTGCCGGAGCTCCTCAATCTTTAACTGCAAGGCAAATTGGAGGTCCCGAAGTGTTCCCATTACACCAGCTGACAAAACACAATAAAACATCTCAACTCAAAGCTTGACAGCCATCTGCATTCATTCCTGTAATTAGATCAGTATTATCATTCATATAAACGGGGAATCAATAAGGTTTAAACGGCTTTTACAGGAGAGATGGATAACCTTCTCAAGCTTGTAAATGGATAGATAGAGAGATATGAATATTTGATCTGATGAAACATGTTTAATGCCAAGCATTTTCAATAGGTATTGAATATTGGTTCTGAAGTAAACTAAAAGAGACAAAACAACTGACTACAAGGTCATTATAGCTTCATGCTTTTTAAATAAATTACAGAATTTAAATTACTGCCAATGACTAAAATTGGACAACAGTGTTGTGTGTTGTCCAATGAACTAAAACACACATATATTATCTGTGAAGCAAAATATAATGCCAAACTGTATTTTACATTTCACACAAACAAAGGTGCACTTACCAAATGCAGCCTGTCTGACAGTGTGGAAGTCTTTCTTGCGTGTTCGTCCCTATTTAGCAGCAGACACACTATTCAAAAGGTGCAGAGCTTTTCTCCGCTCGTCAAAAGTAAAAGATGCTCCTCTCCCGCTCGGGGCTGGGCGCATGCAGACAGCAGGCAATCATGACCCAGACAGTGGACCATTCGGGAGGCTGTAATGACAAATTCATGGACTGGATCCCAATTGGGTCAGATGGTCTATGGGGTATTTCAGAGAACCGGGGATGGGTCTCCGACAACGAGAGAGTGGCGAGACGTTTTATTCTCCAGATATTTTTGCCAATGTGAAAGATATTAAGGCTGGCCGTGAGAACTGATTGTGCTCAGTGTTTTTAAGCATCACATTTGTCTATCCTGTTATATATATATATATAGCTATATATATATATATATATATATATATATATATATATATATATATATATATAATGAATATAATAATGTATACTATAATCATTATATATATATATAGCACAGCAAAAGCAAAAGTACACCAAAAGTAACAATGGTTGATTACATTTTGTAAATATATCCACTTGGAAGGAAATGAACCGGCTCATGGCTTTGTACAATAAGACCCAACCCAATCTTTGCTTTCCTTCATCGTCATTTTTCCTTTAACGTTTAATCCTGGTATAACGATCTCGAGCTGAGGTAAGAATAGTAAATACATTATTTTTCTCGCCTTTTTCGGTTGGAGTATCCTCCACGCGGAACCGCCAAACAACCAGTCGGTGGCAGTAATGTCACGTGAGCGGAGCAGCAGCACGCATCCACCACAGAAGAAGATGGGCCATTGATAAGCGAAGAAACGCCGTAGCTATCTTGAGCTAGCAAAGTAACGTTAGCTGGAAATATTTAGTTGCTTAGCTCATTTGTTGGACGTGTGTTTTGTTCTAGGTATCGTCGAAAATGATCCTTACCGTGAAACCCCTTCAAGGAAAAGAATGCAGTGTTCAGGTAAATTGAAGCAGTGCCCAGCTAGCAAAGTGCTAAGTGTAACCTCCCCACCGCTAGCTTACTGCGCAGCTAACGTTAGCCTTCAGAAGTACGCTAGCCGAAGTGCCGACAGTGCAATGGTCCCGGTTCACGCTCCTTTTAAGTGAAGCAACTACAAACATGCTCCGGATTACACATTGCCAAAACCCCATGCAGTGTAACGTGACGGGTCTGTATTGCATAGTCACAAATTATGAGACGATGTTGCTGTAGGTTCTTCGCTCGTCACATCCTCGAGAATAACACAGTTGCATACGGTCAATTCTTATCTGTGGTTTAGCGAGAGCTCTATAAATCGTTGTGGTTTTTTTGGTCGGAAATGAAAGTCTTTTGCAAAATATGTTATTGATTAAATTAAGCTAACGTTAGTACTGAAATAAAGGAGCGCATGAACTGTACCGTATTTTTATGTCGATCTGTCAATACCCTTTTTAAATGTACTGCTGTAAAGCATTTGCTGACTTGTATATCAAATGAGGAAGTAAATAAAATACTTGACTAAACGTACTGCTTCTCTTTAAACTGCGTCATTGCTTTTCCTGATGTTCAAATGTACCTGGCCACTAACATGCCTCCTATTGACAGTCAGCAATGCTTAAGTGATAGATGCCACCGCTACAGGCCAGTGTCTTTGTTTATTTACTTTGGAATATATATGCGGATGGGTCTATTTCTCGAGGTATATGTGCCCCATTCATGGTTGGTTATATGCATATTTGAGGAGGTATTTTAGTGTGACTACTTTTAGTGTTGTTGATCTTCTAGGTGACCGAAGATGAAAAGGTCTCCACAGTGAAGGAACTTGTGTCCGACCGTCTTAACATACCAGCAAACCAGCAGCGGTTGCTTTATAAAGGGAAAGCGCTTGCAGGTACATTTGCCAACAGTCAAGTGTTTCATAATCTATATGCTATAATTGTAATTACTTGATTCACTAATCCATTTTCTCTTTTTTTTCTTCAGATGAACACAGACTGAGCGATTATTCCATTGGGCCAGAGGCTAAATTGAATCTGGTCATCCGTCCAGTGGGGGAGAGGACTGGAGGGTCGGGGACGGCTTCCAGTAGCGGCTGCAGCAGCGCCTCCTCCTCTTCCACCTCACAAGGAAGAGTGTGGCAGACTGTGTCCACTATACTTGCTAGACACTTTAGTCCAGCAGATGCAGCAAAAGTCCATGAACAGCTTATTAAGGTATTTAATAATAGCGCTACAATGCATTGTAGTTTCAAAGAAGAGCGATTGGCGGTTTGAACACGTACTTTTACGTATGACAAAGTGCACTTCGAACAAGCCACTCAATCAAAAGTCCCAGGTGCTTTACAACTGCCATAAATCTATAGGATTGGTTATATGCCGACTTGAAATTTCATGTGTGTAAAATGTTAAGTTTTAATTCTAGATTCTAACAATCAAAGCGGTTACTCATTTTAATAAATTAAATTGAGACTTGATGAAATAAAAAGTGCTGCACCATTTCAAGCCGCTTGGCCCAAGATATGTTTAAGGATCAATGTGATCAATTCGATGGGTTAGTGATTATAATTTAATATTTTCTATCCATTCGTGTTGACACTTTAGAGTTTTAACTGACATCTAATATAGATGTCATATATTGATGCAGTGATTTGGGGATCTTCATCTAAATATCGTTGACCTACCAAATTAGTCAGAGCCTTCAGTAAATGCACCAGTCTGTTGGTCTGTATTACCCACGACTAAAGTATCCATCCTATCTCATGCTTCATTAGAGCTAAAACAATATGGCTGTACACACAACAGGGTTTAAATAGGTTGTAAAATATTTTAAACTTGCCCCTTCTCAATGTTTTTGTTTTTGTTTTTTCTTTAAGGACTATGAACGTTCTCTTCGACAACTTAGTCTAGACGACATTGAGCGTTTGGCGGGACGTCTGCTTCATCCCGACGGCGAAGTCATGGACACCTCCTACATGGATTAAGAGTAGCTGATTGTCCTTTTGAGAGGCACTCAATTCTCTGCGGTGCATACGGTGTTTAGCGTTTGAGACATTGAAAAATACAATATCCATTTTCTTGCATTGAGCTGTGTGCTTAATCATGGGCTAAGTGAAGACCGATGCCAGAGTCGGTTGATTATGTCAGCAATAGGGCTTTCCTATTTGTGACAAAAGGACGGATGATTAAACTGGGCAACTTTGAATTTTCCACTGTCTTTGATGACCTACGATCTGATCATATACTATTTGCAAACAAAGGAATTAATTTATGCTGTTTCACATGATCTCTGGCTGCTACAACTCCCAGTGGACAGCTGCAGCTACCGGAGGATTTGTGTTTGTAATTTCTGTGTGGGATGGTGCGCTCTGTAAACCGTCCTTGGCAAAGTAACATGTTTTTACTCTTTAACTGATGGTCATTGAATGATTTGTAAATATCATGTTTATATACATATACATTAAACCACAGGGGGAAAAGTGTTCATCTTTGTTGTGTTTGTTTGAATGCTGATGTTTTATATGAATGTCAAAAAATACAATGTTGAACGGAGTGTCTCGCTTTAAGACTAGTTTTCAGGGTTTTTTTAAAGGCGGGATCACCGTGAATCTGATACCTGCCAACCAATCACGTAACAGTAATGGCTATTAGTTTGTTTAATGGCCAATCAGATTGAGGAATGGGCGTTTGAATTACCGCCCATGTAGTAAGATCGCTGTCTTCCCGGCCAAATTCTGACAACAATTCTGATGTCATGACATGTATTTGACTCCCTTTATCCCCCACAAATTATGATGGATAAGAACGTCGGATAAGGACTGCTACTCTCTCTTGAACCTCGGTATGGTCATCACGCAGCATCGGTTGTGCCTACAGACTGCACGGCTGTTCCGTTGGTCAAGCTAGTGTTAGCACAAAGCTAGCACAACCATTTCCCTTCCTGCCTCTACCGATTAGCCTCGAGCTAACGCTAGCTGACATTAACTGGCAACACACGAGCCGTTCGGTCTGTTGTGCTGCATTCGCTTCTTGCCGGGTCGGGCAGTGCCGTTATTGGTTAGTTGTCAGTTTTCTGTTGGGAATCCTTTTAGTATTTAATCCGAGAGGTTTCGTCACTAGTGGTCGAACTGATGGCGGGGCGTCAACGTCACACCCCTCTCATCAGGACCAGTTCTCCCTTTGGCAAAACAAGACGTTTTTTCCCCATAGGAATCTTCTTAGCTGGCTTTTTGAAATAGCATTTTCCCAGCTGGTCAGTTAAATTTAGCTTTAAGTATAATGCAATGAGACCTGGTCTGCTTCAATCCCCTGTCTGTTCGTGTTTGTTTCTGTTTTTAGTAGTTAAGCAGCTGCCTCTGGACCTCTGGAAGGATGGAGACTCTGATTCCCACCATCAACCGGCTGCAGGAGGTCTTCCTCACCGTGGGTGCAGAAGTCGTACAGCTGCCGCAAATAGTCGTGGTCGGATCGCAGGTCGGTCGGGGATGAAACCTCAACGAGAAGCTGTACTATAAACATAATCAAGTCCTCCTGTTCTGAGTTGTTGTTGTTTTGATCATAGCTTGAATATTTATTGTTTTTGTGTGTGATGTAAACACTGGCTTAGGCTGACTGCTCCAGTGCTGCTGGAAATGGCTGAATTGCTGTCATTGTGTGCCACAACAGAGCAGTGGAAAGAGCTCTGTGCTGGAGAGCCTGGTCGGACGGGATTTCTTGCCCCGAGGATCAGGAATAGTCACAAGACGACCCCTCGTGTTGCAACTTGTTAATGTCGCTCCTCTGCAGGAGAGACTCAAAAACGAAAACGGTACCTTCAGATTTCTCCATTTATTCCTTGGCATTTTAAATTTGAAGGAATTCATTTGATATTCCTTGAAAACCTTCAACGTGGCTTTGGTGCAAGTTACGATCGACTAAATATTAGAACATATATATGTCATGGTTTGTCTAAAATCTGTGTATGCATTGGGTCTGCTAGAAGTAATATGTGTAGGATGGCACTTTCACTCACTATTTAACTTGTTGCCGAACCTCTCTACTAATATGCGCTCTTTGTTCCTCTTCTTCTTACTACTCTTCAGGAAATGGGCTAAAACAAAATGCCCAAATCAGCTACCCAGGTCTCTGTATATTTGTTTCTTTAGCCATTTCATTTCTTTTGTAAATTTTCTTCTAAACTCCTTCTTTTAAGCATGATATCGGTCCATTAATAATTGTAATTTATTTCAAAACATCTGTCAATGTCTTGCACTCACTCGTTCAGGTGTCAAAGCTGAGGAATGGGGAACGTTTCTGCACTGCAAGAACCAGGTAGATTTAACTGCACATTTGAAATGGCGTTCTTGATGCCGTTGTCCTGTTTTATGTGCTGGGTTTAGTTAATACATCATTCTTACACCTTTTTTAAAAGATCTTTACAGATTTTCAGGAAATCCGTCACGAAATAGAAGCAGAGACCGAACGCAATTCAGGGGACAACAAGGTGAGAGAAAGCCTTGTTAGGTCATGGATGCCTTTCATTTATCTTTATACGCAATAATACATGTTGCTTCTTTTTCCCCCACATCTTCTAGGGTATCAGTCCTGAGCCAATATACTTGAAGATTTTCTCTCCCAAAGTCCTTAATCTCACCCTGGTTGATTTACCTGGAATCACTAAGGTAAACTCAGCCACTTCGCAAGGATGTTGATTTTGTTTCACGTTTGCAAACATAATGGCTCAATATTCTAATTATCATCATAAGTGCCATCGTCACGGATTGTGCTCTGCCATGCTAATGCTGGCTGATCCTTGTTGTTCTCGCCTCAGGTTCCGGTTGGGGACCAGCCAGAGGACATTGAGGCACAGGTACAAGAGATGATCTTGTCTTTCATCTCCAATCCAAACTGCCTCATCCTCGCAGTGTCCCCTGCCAACTCTGACTTGGCCACCTCAGATGCTCTCAAATTGGCTCGTGAGGTCGATACAGATGGTAGGACATTTTGTAAACGGACGCCTCCTCTCCTCGGATTTCATTTAGATTTTGCTTATATCGTAACATGCCTCACGTAGAAGTGTTTGAATTATCAAATGTGAAGGAAGTATATATTATGCTCAAATCACTTCAAGCTATTGGATCTGTCAGCCTTTTGTGTTGAAAGCCTTCTAACAGGTTGCTTAGAAAAGGAATGCATGTTTTTATGGTGCACTCTCAATAATAGGCTCATGTGCTTAAAGGTAATTGTCTTGTAACATGGCTTTTAAATTCCATTTGTACACTGAGTGTGTGCTAGTTAGGATGTGTGTAGCCGGCCCAAATGTGCCCCTGCTGGCCTCGATTATATCCCATTGGAGACCCGTTGAATGTTTTTTTTTTTCTTCCAAGAAATCCGACTGAATACCTTTCTCTCGGATCACTCAATGTTATGAAAAACTACATTTCAAAGACTGTTCACTGCCCACACAAATATCATTTTGTGTGTGTGTGTGTGTGTGTGTGTGTCAGGTCGGCGAACACTGCTGGTGATCAGTAAGCTGGACCTGATGGATGCAGGCACTGATGCTCTGGAGGTCCTTTTGGGTCGTGTCATTCCAGTCAGACTGGGCATTATCGGGGTGGTTAACAGGTTTGCACTGATAAATTGTTTATTTTTTCCTTCAGTTTAGTTATGTGATGTTTTAAGCTTCACAATACAGCAATGTTCCTATTACCCTGAAAATCAGTCTACTTTCCGCTCCCTCCCCAATTGGTTACCCTCATAGGAGCCAGCATGACATCAATACCCAGAAGAGCCTCGAGGACTCGATGAGGGACGAGCAGGCGTACCTTCAGCGCCACTACCCCTCGCTCGCCTCGCGCTCCGGCTCGCGCTATCTGGCTAAAACTCTCAGCAGGCTGCTCATGCATCACATCCGGGATTGCCTGCCGGAGCTCAAGACGCGTGTGACCATGCTGAGTGCACAGTACCAGGCGCGACTCAATGGCTACGGCCAGCCGGTAGAAGACCACAGCGCCACCCTGCTGCAGATTGTCACCAAGTTCGCCAGCGATTACTGCAACACCATCGAGGGGACGGCCAGATATATCCAGACCTCAGAGCTGTGGGTCAAATCGCTACACGCTTATTTAATAATGTTTCCCGTTTCTGTGATTTGCTTTGTTTTCTTTTTAAGGTCTTCTGAGTTCACCCGTTGTGTGGCACGCCACATCTGACATGAAATGAAAGATCATAAAGGTTATTTTCTTGTGGTGCGCTAATGGTAAAAAAATCTAATTTTAATTGGCATCAGCATCTGTTTGCTGCCTCATCTCTGCAGATGTGTTGCTCTGAGGTGATTTATTTATGTAAATATGTAGAGTGAAAATATTGACCTTTTTAGTTCACTGCATTTAATTGTGGTGCGATCAACATTGTTGACACACAGCACCGTGTTGGTGTCACAGCTGAACGCATCTTTCATCTCTTCTCCAGCTGCGGGGGTGCTCGGATCTGTTACATATTCCATGAGACCTTTGGGCGTACTTTGCAGTCCATTGACCCCCTGGGAGGATTGACTGAGCTTGATATCCTCACCGCCATCCGCAATGCTACTGTGAGCTTCTCCTGACTTCTCTTCTTTGCTTCCAAATTCTAGTCAAGTTCTCTCGTTCGGAGGAATAGCAGGTGAATTATCGAGCCGGCGTGTGTCTGTGATTTTTTTTTTTCCTGCAGGGTCCGCGTCCCGCACTCTTTGTGCCCGAGGTGTCCTTCGAGTTGTTGGTGAAGCGGCAAATTAAGCGACTGGAGGAGCCCAGCATGCGTTGTGTAGAGCTGGTTCACGAAGAGCTGCAGAGGATCATCCAGCATTGCTCCTCCTACAGCACGCAGGTGAGCCAAAAGACACTGCCGCATTTTTTTTTTATTTGATCTACTTGCTGAAACCGAGAAGCACTAATTATGACGGCACCGTGTTGAGAAATGTGTCCGTCTTTGCCAGGAGCTCCTGCGATTCCCCAAACTGCACGATTCCATTGTGGAAGTTGTGACTGGATTACTGCGAAAGCGCTTGCCAATAACCAATGAAATGGTAATCCACGGCTTAGCTAAAATCGTTCATACTAATTACCAACAGCCAAGTATTTCTTTACTGCCTGACATTTATTCTGTTTTTTTCCCTGTTAGGTGCACCATTTAGTCTCGATAGAGCTTGCTTACATCAACACCAAACACCCAGACTTCACAGATGCGGCGCAGGTCTCTGCATCTGTCAACAGTCAGCAGGTCTGTGCCTTACAGCAAGTACTCTCATTTATTATTTATTCTCTTTAGGCTAAACAGGAGCAGTCTTACCTCCAAACAGTAACACTGCCTGTCAAGCTTGTAGTGAAGTGATGGACTCAGCCAAAATAGCCATGACCCCCCCTCCCCCTACCCCCGCCCAGGACTGACTCTGATTCCTCGCTGACAGGCGGAGGCCCTCGATGGAGGAAAGCGCTGGAAGAACGAGAAGGTTGTGGAAGAGAGAGTCCCGGCTGCAGCCTTTGGCAGTCCCAGCAAAGGCCAGTCCGTCAACCTGCTCGACACGGTGGGTGGTGGGATCGGCCTCTAGAACGTCACACTTGACACATAACACATTTTACTTTGTGTCTCTCTCTCTCTCTCGCTCTGCCAGGCGGTGCCTGCATCACGCAAGCTTAGTGCGAAGGAGCAGAGGGACTGCGAGATCATCCAGCGCCTCATCAAGTGCTACTTCCTCATTGTCCGCAAAAGCATCCAAGACAGGTTTGTCTGGAGCAAGTCGGCAGGATCTTCTTTTGACCTCAGTTGTTTTTATTAATATCCTAACGTCGCCTCTCTGGGCTGTATGTCCGCAGTGTGCCAAAGACGGTGATGCACTTCCTGGTCAACTTTGTGAAGGAGCATCTGCAGAGTGAGCTGGTGGGTCAGCTCTACAAACAGACCCTGCTGCAGGAGCTGCTCGTTGAGTCCGAGGACACGGCACAGCAGCGCACCGAGGTGGCTCAAATGCTTGAGGTGAAACCGGCGGATGTTTTTTTCTTTTTTTTGTTCTCTGAATATATCCTGGGCATGAAAAACAGAAAGTCCTTTTTATTTCTCTTGTATCTACTATTTTGGAAGCAGTGATCTCACAGACCTTTGCTCTCTTTTTCTTTCTCAGGCACTCCAAAAGGCCAATAACATCATCTGTGAGATCCGGGAGACACATCTGTGGTAGCCAGAAGAAAAGAGTAATTCGCTTGTCATAGGACAGGTTTCTAGAGTATGAGTTTACACAGAGTGTGTGTGTGTGTGTATGTGTGAGTGTGTGTGTGTGTGTGTGTGTGTGTGTGTGTGTGTGTGTGTGTGTGTGTGTGAGTGTGAGTGTGTGTGTGTGTGTCAGCACATTTTGTCATGGACCAATGAGCACAGCACATCCACACCTTTTTCCCTCAGCGGTCCTGACCAGTACACTCGAGCTGTTGCTCTCACGATGAACGTTGTGTAGTCAAGCAAAGTGATTAAATACTCAGGCCGAAAGTGTTACTTTACAGTTGAAATGTCAAACGCAAAGCTACAATCTTTTTGTATAATTTGTGACAGTAGGTTTTGTTGGATCGTAAGACTTTTGCTGTAAATTTAGGATTGTCAATGGATTCCGTTGTACCCGATGGTGTTTTCTTTCGATCAAAATGTGTTTTCACTGTACAATTCCACCAAAAAAAGAGTTGCAGATGCTGCAACTGTGCTAGATTACATGTTTTCTAACTTTAATCCCCTTTATTCATCTCACCAGAGAAATTAAATCCACTTAATTAATGTTGACCCCAATACAACACTGAAGATAGACTGTGGTTATTTACAGAAATTACTGGATAAATACAGATTTTTTTACAGCTCTTTTCTGCATATCGATATCAGGTTTAAATTCCAGAGACTAGATTTTCATATCGACTCATTTATTCTGTTGTAATGGCTTTTGTGTGTAGTCAATAGAGAAAAACATTTCAACGTTTGCAGGTTTGAAGGAGATGAGTTGGGAAGCTATAGTATCTAGAGTGTATATATTCTGTAGTATCTAGAAAAAACAAATGAATTGAATATTTAATAATAGTCAGAAGATGATGTAATACCTCATCAGTTGATTCAAGAGCCAGATGTTCTCTAGCTCCTCTTTATTTCCTCTAGCCATTTGTTCACTGGGTTCTCTTCTTAAGATGGATCCCTGTTATTGTCCCTGTCCAGTAGGAAGGACAGTATCCAAGTAAAAGATTATTGAGATTATGCAGATTCCTCCTGCATGCAGAGCATTTTGCTTCTGTGCCGATCATGAATTAATCGTGTAGTATTGATTGATGTTCATACATTTCTGTTTCTCCCAGTTTAGGTTTTTGTTAATTTTTGTATCCGTTCATGTAAATCTCCTTTCAGAGCAAAAACAAATACTTAACCTAAAGATAAGCTTTTTAACAATCCCGTAACAAGTCTTTCTTCTGTGTGATCAGGGAGAGAACACAACGTCCGTCTGTCTTTCTGAAAGCCTCGTTCGATTGCATGTGTGTGTTCCGTGTGCATGCGTGGACTTATGAATGGCGGCTGTATGTATATTTTGTGTTATTTAAATGCATTTTATTATCATGTGTCAACTGCCTAGGAGTTCTTGTCTGCCAATATTTGTGATACATGTCTGCTGAAAGAAGTCTGTGGAAATTGGTGGGACTCATTAAACCCTAAAAAAAGGACACCGTAGTTTGTTTGAGTGTTACTGAAAACATGCAGCAATAGAAATGTATCTGTTTGTTTGTTTGTCTGCTACAGTGACACACGACAACTCGCCCTGCTTCACTTTTCGGGTGACCGTTAAACTGCTCAAATCCACGCTTTTAGTTTTTCGAACAAACCACCCAAATAACGTGTGTGTGTACTTATTACATGGATTATGGATTGAAATGCAGATAAAATGAGTGATGCTTGGAAAGAAAATGAACCACAAGATTTTGAACTCTTTGTTTAAGCAATGATTTTATAACTTATAACTGCACTGTGTCCCAAGTTGTTGTGTTCACCCTCTTATACCCCCCCCTCCCAACAAGACTAGACCATACCAACTCTGACAGAATTGGAGGGTTCTCCGCTGCACTAACGTGGCGGCCGCGATTGTTTTGGTCTTACAAATCTGGCAGAATTAGTTTGGAACCGGCCCGAGGCATGTTTTAATCAATTCCCGAAATGACTCGAGGCTTTTCTGCCGCTCCCCAGTGACTCACGGGAGGGTTCCCGTCTGCGATCCACTCCTCTCCAGTCCTCCACCGTGGAGCCAGTCAGCAGTGCAAGCTGAACAAAGCCATGAGAGAGAGAGAGGGAGAGAGAGGGAGCTTCTGGGAAGAAATGCCTCTCACTGACTCTGTCGCCTGGACAACCGGCTAAGAGAAGAGGGGAGGGCGCACGAGAAAGAGAGAGAGAAAGGACACAGGAGCATAAAAGGAGAGGAAAACAACCCATTATTAACTGCTGAGATTAGAAGATTCCTTTAGAGTGAGGAGAGTAGGGGGGGGGAGGTAGATTTGTGTCAGTCGGGGTTCCCTTGGTGTCTCTCGCATGATGAGTTATTAACTATGACAATAAAGCAGTGATTTTTGTTTTCTTCCACACAAGGGCATGAGAGAGATAAAACAGCAGAGCACAAGTTCAGCACAATACAAGTGGACCCAATAGGCCTGAACGCCCCACCTGTGTTCCCGGATCATCCGCCTCAGGTAAGACTCTTCTCCGTTGCAGCCGTTTGCCTTGATCTGGATGCTTTGGATTTTTTCTGACGTATTGATATCGATGATCATTTCTGTGCAATTATGATCATATAAGTAAATGCCAGATGAAGTCCAAACAAGGATAAACCAATCAATAAGAGCGTATCTTACCTGCTTGGAAGAGAAGCATTGCAACTCTGAGGCAGTTTGTCGTTATCAATGTGTTGTTTTCATGCTGTAGAAAAATCACTACCTTCACCACTGAGAATTTTTCACCATATTTTATGTAGAAGAGTGGGAGAAATTGCATGGTACACCAGGATGCTTCACACACACCTTACACCTCGCTTTGCATTCCCCTCGGTGCGAGCATGAATTCATCGAGCACGCCCTGAGAAAATGAACACCGTCGTCAGGTGCAAATTAATCTGGAGTTTGACTTGAACCACGTTATCCAGATTCACAGTGCGTAAAGAATAGAAGGCACGTCCGATATAACCAAACCGCCGAGCGCTCATGCATAAGGAATGTATTCATAGAGCACTCGGGGGGAAATCGATGCCTCTTTAAATGAGGTGCTATGCTGAGTTTACACAGGGCTGATTTTGTGTGGGGCAGCATGTGATATCTATATTGGATGAGATGGAGAGGAGATAAAACCGAGGGGTGAGGTTATCTTGCTGCTGTCAATAATGAAGGTTACAAATCTCATCTACGAGCACAGGATAGAGAAAAGCCAGAAAGATTGGAGGAGGAAAAGGGCAGAGGAGAGAGGGATGGCCAGCAAAAGGGGGATGAGAGAGATGTGGAGACAGATGATTGGAGGTGAAAGGTTCAGGCTGGCAGCATGCTGGGATTCCTCAGAGCTCCCACTTCATAGCTGGCCCGATCCAGAGATGCAATGCAGGGTTAAAACACTGACACTCAGCTTATTTACCTGTTTACGGGAGACAACATACGTAAGAAAAGCATCTAGTACTGTGTGCACAACACAGCCCCTCTAATACGTCTGTACAAACGTGACTACCTGGGAAACACCTGATTAAAAATATTGAAGAACAGAAGGTAGGCGGAGAGTTCATTATCGAGTCTTGTGAGGGAAGGAATGTGCTTTTCAATTGTTTAATACAAGAAATTCATACCTTAAATGCTGCAAATAGATTTTCCCTTCAGGGGCCGGACTGCATTTATTTCAGTTTTGAGTAAAAAACTACATTTAAACAAACAAATATAGACCATAAATGTAGGCCGAGCCTTCAGGGAGACAGCATTTACTCCTGTAAACACACAAAGCCCCGATGCCAAATTACACTTACACTATTTTTAATCCACACCTGCGCAGGGTGCAAATTGACTTTGTGCTCCCAATCTTTACAGCAAAATAGTGCTTTGGATGCTTTGGAACACTCGGGGGAGCTTTTAAACACATTAGTCGTACCGAGCTCCTTGCTGTGCTTTACAGCTGTAATCATTGCACATGTGGTGCAATGCTGTGTTGGACGCAAAGAACCGTCGGACTCATGGAGAGGAGGGGAAAGTGAGTCTCCCAGTGGCCGTGCAGACCCTGTAGTTACCCCCCCACGTTACCCGTTACACAGTAGGCGGCAGAGGCTTAGCATTCATCACAGAGCTCTGCCCTCATGTCCAACAGGCATTCGCCAATGAATTCCTGGAACTGTCAGACTGTGAGGTCTGCAACACTAATCAGCCTGTTTTGACGTTGAAATACACACACACACACACACACACACACACACACACACACACACACACACACACACACACACTTGTAGCTGGGGAGATCTGCCTGTTGGGAGTCACATTTAAATGTTTTGCGTGAATATGAATTAGAAGAGAAGCACAATTTGTTTCATAGATTGATGAGGTGCTGGTTGTCGTAAGGGTGACGTCTGTGGTGTGTGTGTGTGTGTGTGTGTGTGTGTGTGTGTGTGTGTGTGTGTGTGTCTCTCCCAGGCTTTTCTTTTGCCATCTCCTCCATTCCTCTTGTCTCATCCTGTTTCTGTGCTCGTCTAAATGTGTCCTCTCATCTTGTGTTGATGAGAGCACCGTGATCAAAACAAGCTGCAGAGGCCGACATGATGAAATGTAACAGGATTACAAAAATGTATTTACCAAAACTCAACTCAATTTAATTTACTCTTAATGCGCAATTATATCTCACTTTTTTTTTTCTCGATTTTGTTCCATAATATCTGATATTACGGACAGAAACAGACACGTCTGAAGAGGAACAGTGGCTTTCATTATGGCATCACAGAAGACACAATAGATTGGCTGAGTATCATCATATTAACATATTAAGGTGCAGATAACCAGCCGCCACCTTCTAGTCTTTCAATTCTAACAAATCATTTTGTTGGAACACTATCATAAAGTGTCAACTGTTAAAACGGAAAATGACGTGGCTGTGAAACACATCTACGTGTCGCTCCATTACAGTGAACCAGATCATTTGTGGACACAAGATTTTTGTCCAGTGCACATGAACACAAGCTCAAATCCTATAAATCTACAAGCCTCCGAAAATTTATTTCGTGCTTCTTCTCTGCTTTTCAACCAGAGCAGTCTTTTTTTTTATTTTACGAATATTGATTAAATCCTTATTTTTCATGATAGATTTTTCACTTAAGCCAGAGAGCTGAGAGCAGCTATCTTTCTCACCTGGCTGACCTTAAAGCACCGCTCTAAGGAGAATAGACAAATTGCTGCAGTTAGTGGGCTCACAGCCACTTGAATACAAACTGCTGTATCTCGTGTGTGTGAGGAGTGCGGAAGAAGAGGCCCCTGCTGACACACTTATTCAAAGGGTGCCCATCACAGCAGGTAAAACCTTTTCTTATTCCTCAACCCCGTCGGATAACGCACTCGCTCTTCTTGTCAGTAATTAGACAAGTGAACTGATTTAATTTGCTGCAGAGCAGAAACTGCTCGGGGAGATTCTCAGCCATCAGCGGAGCCTCTCTGGGTGATAATGGCTTGCCCGCGCTGACAGAGAGAATAATGAAATCACAGCTTTTAACCTGTCTAACCCCACCGAGCTCTTGTGATCAGCATTTCAAAGCAGGACTCTGCCGACAATTTCCCCTTAAAAGTAATTTTAAAAAAAGTCTCCCCTCCTCACATATTTCCATACGAGCTGCGACGGGAAGCGGCTTGTCGACTGAGGACACACTTCATTTTCATTTTTTTTAAACCCTTTCCATCATTTCTCTGATGCTCATCTCAGCTGGCAGTTCAAACATCTTTGTCTTCATCCCCCCGAGAGAGAAAGAGAGGGGGGGAGAGAGCAAGAGAGAGAGAGAGAGAAAGAGAGAGAGAGCGCGGGGTGTTACTTCAAATGAGCGATGATCAAGTGGTGTCATGTGTCCTTGACAGGTGCCAGCATGGATGTGGAGGATGCGCCACTGCTGTTTCAGACCAACTGGGGAGGGGAGGAGGACGAGGGGGAGGGGGAGGAGGAGGAGCAGGATGCAGTAACGCCGGCAACAAGACAGGGTTGTTTTTGTGGTGAGGCCGGTGACGCTGGACTCTGGAGAGCAGTAGGGTGGGTGTACACGCAGCCCTGGGCCAGTGGAGTGGTTCTCGGGGTAGTTGTCTCAGTACCGTGCGCCCTGTTTGCCTACATGCTCCTCTACTGCCCTCCTCTGGACATAGACCTCTCCTACAGTGCCTTTGAGGTTCACAGTCACTTCTCTGCCGAGCGCTTTGACGCCCTCTCCATTGCTGTGAAGAGCCAGCTGGGGTCCTGGGACAGACGTAGGCGAGACCTGGGTGACAGCGAGTCTGGCGCCCCGAGGGAGCTCCTGCTGGAGAGGCTGAGCGGACGGGGAGCATTCGACAGGGCCGACGACGAGGCTGTGAGGCCGTCTGCTCCTCGAAAGGACCCTTTAGAGGCAGGAGATGATGGCGAGAGAGGAGCGTCAGAGAGCAGAGATGTGGAGACAGAGCATCACAGGTCATCCGGGGATGAGAATTGGACCATTCCGCTCATTAGGAGGCGCCGGTTGGCTCCCAATTACTACCTGCAGAGCCAGGCCCTGTGGAGGATCGAGCTGGTGTTTGTGGCTCGAGGGGAAGGCGATCGCAACATCTTCACCCCCGAACGTCTGCAGACGATCCACCACGTGGAGCACCTGCTCATGCAGCACCCGCAGTTTCATCAGTTCTGCTGGAAGCCTCTGGAGATGTTGAGGGATCTGCCGTTGGGGCCGTCCTACTGCTCCCCACCCAGCTCACTGCTGTCCTACCTTTACCCCAGCGAGAGGGGAGGGAAGATATACTATGACGGAATGGGCCCAGATCTAGCGGATATTCAAGGTGAGCCCACAGAGAGAAGTTTTTTGGGGAGGGGGGGGGGGGGGGGGGGTTGTATCCTCCTCCGTATTTGCCATGTATATTTTATTCCCAGGTTCTCTGAGTCTGGCCATCACCCACCCACAGTTCTACTGGTACGTGGATGAGGGCGTGTCCCCCGAGCATCTCTCCTCCTCCCTCTTACGAAGTGAGATCCACTTCGGAGCTCCTCTTCCTTCTTACTTCTCCGTGCAGGACCGAGCTCACGAGCAAAGATCACGTTTCAAGAACTTTGTTGTTCAGTACGCAGACATCCTGGCAAAGCAATCTACCAGGTCAGGACCAACTTTGTTTTACACTACATAATCATTCCGTCCATTTGCCGCATAGTAACATTATTCACATGATCCACACATTGTTGCAGACGTTCAAATGGGACATTATTGAGAATGTGCTCTCCTCTTCACAGCCAGGTGAAGGTGCTGTTTGGCGGAACAGAGCTGTTTGATGATGAGGTGAGACGCACCTTCCACAACGACATGATGCTGGCGGTCATCAGTGGAGCTTGCATTACTGTGCTCGTCTATGTCCTTACCTCCTTTTCTGGTAGAGTATCACCTCGAATTACGTTGAAGAACACATTTTTTAGTCCATGTTTAGCCACCGCATGGATGTTAATGAGCCCTTTTATGCTTTGTTCTCTCTCTGAAGTGTTTCTGACTTTCTTCGGACTTGCCAGCATTGGACTGAGCTGCCTAATGGCTCTTTTTCTTTACCATGTTGCCTTTGGCGTGAGGTACCTGGGCATTCTCAATGGAGTTGCAGCCTTTGTTATTATCGGTATTGGTAAGAGAAAATAAATGAATTCAATTGTTTGTTTGTCATGTGGTATCAATCTCCTCATCTAACATTAAGCAAGAAAGTTGAGTTTGTCCAAAGGTTAAACTCGTCCTTCAGAGGTTGAAAAACAAATGACTTGCTATAATGCTTAATGAGGTTGCTCTTTTGTTCTCTCACTTTTGCTCAGGGGTGGATGATGTATTTGTGTTCATCAGCACCTTCAGGCAGGCTTCTCACCTGCGTCAACCGCAGCAGCGGATGATCTACACGATTAAAACGGCAGGCCGGGCGACCTTTCTCACCTCCTTCACCACAGCGGCAGCCTATGCTGCTAACACCTTCTCTCAGGTAGTTTATAGAAGATAAATTCACCCGTTAATGGGACCTGTACGAGGAGTGTGAATGACTCCTCCTGCTCTGGATGAATAGAAGTGCCTCTCAGCAGATAAACACAAATTAAATTACGCTGTGCTTCGTTCAACCGACACTTAGATTCCAGCCGTGCATGACTTCGGCCTGTTCATGGCCCTCATCGTCAGCTGCTGCTGGCTCTGGGTGTCCGCCTTGATGCCTGCAGCTCTCTGTATCTGGTCCGACTGTGTGGAGCCTCAGGAACACGCCTGGTGGAACCGGTGAGCCATTGTTTGCTTGCTTTCGTGTGGGATTTTACTTTGCGACACCGCAGGCGCGTTGTAATCCATTCAGCCGTCCCTCTCCCCAAACCGCCTCCTGCAGCTGGAAGCTGTTTTGGGGCCTGTCAGCGAGCCCCGGCCCTTTGTCAGATGAGGATGAGGATGTGGCGCTGTTGTCAGTGGAGATGGAGCCAGGTGAGATCATTATCTCGCTTGCCTTGCGTGAACCATGAGGGGCGGGTTTTAAAACGCACGCTGTCCAGACACCACTAAGCCCCCTGTCTCTGTCCCGGCCCAGGCTCATGTGACGCAGAAGACGACGCGGCCATTCTTTCCCTGTCGGTGGAGACACTTCGTCCCCCTCCAGGCCAGCAGCAAGTGGGCGTGGTGAGCAGGAATCTCCGGTGGGCTCTGAAGCACTTAGTGGCAGAGCCCTCCGTGCTGCGACGAAAGACTGTTCTAGGTGAGATTGGATATATAAATCAATGGAAACTCCCTTGACTTGGCATTTTATACCCTGTAAAAGATCAGGGAGAAATGTCTATAGTTTGGTTTTCAGAGATCAGCCGAGGTCTTGATCTACGATTTAGTCGTGAGAGTAACCGTCAGCTCATCGCTCGTCTGGCCTGAAAGGATTCAGTCTGTCGGAGGAAGAGCAAGTGTCTATCGGGGGAGAATTTACCCTCCCTCTTTTAAGGCGCTTCCGTAATTGATTCTTGCTCCCTGTCTGTCTCTCAACTGCTCCATCCGAACCATGAATACCTCGTCCCTGCCATCATTTATCATTGTCTGCCGGTCGACCCAGGTGTTTTCCTCCTGGTGCTGCTGCTGTCTGCTGGGTTCTGCTGTCTCCTGAGGCCCGCCACCCACGCCCCCCTTCTCTTCCGCCGGGACACAAACCTCCAGACTTTGCTGGCTCTGAGGAGCAACCTCAGCGGACAAGGCATCTCCTGCCCCATGTGCTCAGGTGAGACGGTGGAAGTGATTGGAATGCATGCGCCGGTTACCCTCACAGATCCAGAACAAACAGCAAAATGTCTTGTTGTGACCTCCAGGTGTGTTCATGGAAAAGCCCCATGCGTTGTCCACCCACGCTTCCTCGTCGACGTTTAAGTTTTCCACACATCAACAGACGGAGAGCGCAGCAACCGTCTCTTCTTCAGTAACACCAAAATCAAGCGGCAACCAAACGGGTGAAATTCTGCGTACGAAAACCTCTTTGTTCAAAACCTCTCCAACTATTTTTAAATATTGGACTTTTTTTTCAGGCGCTTTACTGACAGTGTTCATATCCAAATTGGACCTTGGAGCCTCTACAACCCTTTACCGCTTCTCCCTCAACACCAGCACTCCCTCCCCATGGACACGGTGCAGCACCGAGCACGAACAGGTGTCATCGTTTCAGGTTAGAGAGCGAAAAAAAGTAATAGCAACGGTGTAGCTAGTTGTACCATTATGTCTCCCAAATGAAATATTGCGCCACGAAACGGCCTTATAACTAATCTTGTTTTATCTGAATAGGCTTATAATCAGCCCCATGGCAATTACACCACCAGAATGACAGTGTGTGTTTCCCATGCTTACCACCCGCACCCCAGCTGGATGATCACATCCACCGCGTGTGAGCCGCGTCACGGCTGGAACGCAGAGTTTTCCTTTTACACCGCGTCATCCCTGCAGCAGCACAGCAGGTGAACATGCAAGCGAAAGTCAGATGGACCTTCATGTACTTTTACTTTTCAACTCTGCTCTCTGCTTTCAGGAGACTGTGCTTTGCCCAGCGCCGCCTGAGACCTCACCCGAGCCGCGTGTGCGTCCACCCACCTGGCTGCGGCATCAGTTCTGGGCCTGATGGACCCACGCGGGGAACATTTTACATTCCACTTCCCAGTGGTGAGAGAGCTGGTGTCGGAAAGCACCGTTAACATTGAGACAGTTTGTTCTGTTTTCTCTCTGCATTTGTCACATTTCACAACGTATAAATAAAGGCCCGTTGAGAGATTTTCTGGTTATATTTCCAAAGATCTCTCGTCTGCTGCCAAAACAAAGTCATCCAAAACATTTGGCTTCAACCCATGCAGTGGAGACGCATGTGGACATCCAGCTGTTCGTCCTCTGGTCGACACCGGGGCGATGGTTTTTGTGGTGTTTGGCATCTTGGGAGTCAACCGAACCGAAAACAGGGAGAACCACGTCATTGGCGATATGGTGAGGGTCACGCCTCATCTGAAAAACAAAAGACAGACTTTTAATTGTGCTATCATGTTTCTGACGCAGTGTTTAATTCTCTCCAAAGGGCAGCATTATATTGGACCCAGACTTTGACATTTTCCAGGAAATGGAACTTCTGTGCAAAATCTGTAAAGCAATTAGTGCAAACACACAACTTGTAAAGCCGGGAGGAGCGCAGTGTTTGCCTTCAGGTAACATCCACACTCTATTCAGAGGGAAATATTTTATTTTACCAGCCAATATCATAAAACAATTATAAACGTGCCAAAAATCCACTGGTTCTATCTTCTTCTAAATATTGGCTGTTTTTTCCATTGCACCAAATTATTATATAATTATATTTTGTTGTTCTGGACTGCTCTTTGAGAAATTACAAAATGAGAAACTCAAAAGAGAAATGATAATGATAAGATGTTAATGAAAATAACACCACTGAATCCATGTTGAGAAACAAAGTGCTTAACTACCAGGAAACTGAACAAAAGCAAAGCAAAAGTCACCTGCAAGATTCTAGTACAATAATCTTGTATAGAGAATGAGAAGTGTGAAAAAGGTCCTGTGCCCTATGTTCTCTTCAGGTAACAAACTGTCATCTGTTCTGCCTCTGCTCCATCCTGAATGCCACTCGCTCCCTGAGCCCAACCTGCTGCCGGGGCAGCTCTCTCACGGAGCGGTGGGGGTGCGTGGAGGAAAAGTCCGCTGGCTGTCCATGGCCTTTGAGTCCGTGAGTCCCTCCGTCCTTCTCCAGCTCATGTTCCAGCAAACCAGGGGAGCCCCCTATAATGTGTAATGTCCTTACCTCTCTTCCCCCTTAGACCACATACAAGGGGAAATCCTCCTTTCAGACCTATTCTGACTTCCTTCAGTGGGAAAACTTCATCCAGGAGCAGCTCGCCTCGCTCCCCCGGTCCTCCGCTCTGAAACGGGGATTCCAGACCTGCGAGCACTGGAAACAGATCTTCATGGAAATAATAGGCGAGTCAGTCAGCGTCAAATAGTCAAATAGTGTTTGTTTCTGAAAGCTGACAAAGGATTTATGGGGACGAGGAGGTGAAAATCTGAGGTTATACTATGTTTGCAGGCGTGGAGAGCGCCCTCTGGAGCCTGCTGCTGTCTCTGGTCATCTGTGTGGCAGCTGTGTCGGTATTTACTGCACATCCTCTGCTGCTGCTCTCAGTGCTCATAACCATTCTAGGTAAGAGAGGAAACATGTGCATTCTCACCCAGTTTATATTTTTGAGTTTTTAAGTTTTGATCTTAGTGTTCACGCCTGGGTTGGCATCGTGTGTGTAAATTGCGGCGTTTTGCCCTTGAACAGGGGTGATCTGTCTGGTTGTGGCGGTCATGTACTGGCTGGGCTGGGAGATGGGAGCAGTGGAGGCGATTTCTCTCTCCATACTGGTGGGATCCTCAGTGGATTACTGTCTACACCTGGTGGAGGGATATCTGCTGGCCGCGGAGGCCATTTCCGCTACGCCTGGTCATAACTCGGTATGGGAGCGTGCGCTTGTTCAGCAATAAGAAAAAGCTTCCACCGCACGTCTCGTGTTTACACACAGCTAATAACTGCGATTTTTTGGATTTAATAAGACCAGAAGCGCCCCGGAGCCTCGTGAATAAAGAGGAGCCGCTCCTCCTATTAATCTCTCTGCTTTGTTTGCAGGAGCCCGGGCCCGAGAGGCAGAGGCGGACCTTGGAGGCGGTGAACCACGTCGGCGTTGCCATAGTGTCCAGTGCCATCACCACGGTGATCTCCACAGTCCCCCTCTTCTTCTGTGTCATTGTGCCTTTTGCCAAGTTCGGCCAGATAGTGGCCATCAACACCACCGTCTCCATTTTCTTCACCCTGACCGTGACCGTGGCTATGTTGGCATGTGTGGCCCCTGCCCGCTTCAGCCGGCCCCCCGGCGCCGTGCTGAGGGCCAGCCTGGCCGTGGCGGCTGCGGCAGCCTTGGGAGCGGCTCTGTGCTGGGTGGGAGGACAGCTGGGAGCGTTTGGCTGGCGGTCAATCAGCACGTGAACACGACCCTCTGCCTGCTCGCACCGATGTCAGGCAGGGGAGGTCATCCGTGCACAAAACTGTGACAACTGAGAGCCCTCTGTTTTCCTCCGTGTTTAGGAGGAAATATCAGATGAGTGAATTGAATGGTTCTTCACAGCACAAAGATGTCAGGATCTTAGAAGCTGAAGTAGAAGCTGTTTGTCGTTTTCAGTGGACTTTGAGAAGCTGTGTATATATAAGTGTATATGATTGTGTGACTCACAGTTAATGGGATGATTTTTCTGGATTGAGATGATGATTCAGCCAATTAGATTGTTATTTTTCATTCAGCCAATGGTGGAGATGAATTCTGGTGGGAAACACTGGCTGACCCAAATCATTCTTTTTTCAGTGTAAATCAACGATTGTTCTGGGATTTGGTGTTGCGAAGGTGTTGTTTTCGGCGTTGTTTGTTTTGTGTTTCCTTGGTTGTGCATTAAATGTGTTTTCAGCCACATTAGAAACAAATGTTATGATGTCCTGATCGGCTGGATTAAAAATTGTATTAGTGCGACGTTTTGTTATGTGTATAGTGGGATTATGTATGTTCTCCCACATTGAACTGCAGCACTCACCTGTTCCAAATGGGTGTGCAAACAAAGGCTTCCCACGAGATATTGTCCTCTTTTCATTTTTTTAACCCCTTCACATGTTCATACGTTGGACACGTGTCTCTATTTTTGTCATCAGCACCAACTGAAAAAGACCTGTGGTCGGCTCCTCAGGTGTGTCCTCCACGCGTCCTCCACTGCGCTCGTCCGCTCTCCCCCCAGATCCAGAGCACCACTCAAATAGCCGAGGAGCAGAGCTCCGGTCAGGGCCATTTGTCAAAGCACAAAACACAACAGTGGCTTCGGGAGAGGGTCCGACTCGGCTGCGGCAAGAGCGGCAGGTTTGTGTTTTGTGTGTGTTGTGAACGTGTGAATGTCAAATAAAACGGGTGCAGTAAACCTTTGTTATTTTCTCTTGTGAAACCTCAGCACGATTCTCTCCTGCGTTGCTATGCGAGTGCCTTCAGTCACGTTGTTACTGAGGGAGCGACAGGAGGCCGGCATATGTCCAACTAATTAATTGAATGAATGTTTAATGTCTGTCAACACAGAATAACTGACCTGCTGCGACAGAACGGTACAGAATATTTGGAATATAAGCAGAGACATTGGCAGACACTGTTTTGTCCTGAGGGTCTTTCGTCTGCTTTTTTTTTTTTTTACTGAAGCAGCAATATCACATTTATTATGCTGTAGTGGAAAAATAAAACGGTGCGTCGCCAGTTTTGAGTGGATTTCTACAGTGGAGGAAATATACAGTAGATGTCTAGATGAAATATGGACACAGCACTCGGGGAGAAGGGATTTTTATTGTCATGCTACAGTGCTACTATTAGTTACTATTTATTGACTTTCTATACCATGCCTTATTTTTGACATTTTCTCACATGCTATAATGTGAGTTTTGGAACCTTTTTTACGATATATAACAAAATAAGACATTTTACATTACAGGTCATTTAGCAGACACTTTTTATCCAAAGTGACTTGCATTACACTTTAAATCCATGGCTTTTTTCACATTTTGCCTGGGGAGCAATTAGGGGCGTAGTGTCTTGCTCAGGGACACTTCAACTTGAGACATGGTGCAGCCAGGACTTGAACCTCCAACCTTGTGCTTCCCAGCACACCCGCTCTACCCCTTGCGCCACAACGACCCTCATGCAAATTTACTTTTTTATACACTTTTTCGACATACTCCAGGATTTGTTAGTTTGATTGGATGATGTACTATAATATTGCTATTTTTTAACGACCAAACGTGGTATTACTTATTACTGAATTTTTATGGGACATCATATTGGGACTTTTTTTGGACAGACATTTCATAACCTTTCTGAAATAAAAAATGTCTAAATAAGATTTTTTTTAAACTTTTAACAACATACATACTAACATAGGAATTTTAATGAAATTTCACAGCATTACATATCATATTGTGACCTTTTTGACATAATGTACAATGACTCTTTAAAGGCTTTGACTTTTTAATAACTTTAGCTCCTACTAGTAAGGCACCAAGGCTATTACACCACTCGCTCTGCTCCTGGCTAATGTCTGCTGGCTGGCATGTGACCCTGCAGCCTGCGTGACTGTTGTTCCCACATCTTAACAGAGTCGTGACGTCTGACAGGAAGCACGGCGGAAGACTCGGTTGGACTGCGTTTAGCTCAGCTGTGCCGGGTAGGTAGAATGAGGATTATTTTTATTCATACAATAATATTTTTATGATATGGCTTTTGTTAACACCTTTTTTGGTATTTGACATGTTCATTTTAGATTCAATATACTCGTACTAGTCTTTTTAATGATTTTGTTCAACATATTATACAAAGCCTTTCTGTGTATTGTTCAACATGCTATAACATTTTTAAGACTTTTTCAACTTACCATAGTAATAAGTACTATGTTATTACCATAAATCTACGTCTATACCTGAACCTTTTGGGAATAGTTATAATTTAATCAGGAATTTGAAATGTCTTGATCCTCCTGGGTTTATTTACTGGTTTAGTGCAGCATGTTTACATTTGCATGTGTTTTGCAGAGTAAGGGATCATTTCAGTCTTCCAGTTGTTTGTGCATCTGCTACTCTGCTTCTTGTGTATTTAGAAGATCAAATCTCACAGCAGAATAATAAGGGAGAGTAAGGGGGGGGGGTCGGGGACTTAGTATTCAGGAAGGAAGAAAATGAAAAGCTTTTCTTCTGTAGTTTCAAATGACAAGCTCCATCTATAAATAGTAAATCAAAGTAAAGCTGAGGGATATTTATGTTGGCTTTGTTGTATTTTTTTATCTTTGCCCTGTGTCAGAAAAATGTGTCATACACAGGGCAGTGTGCATTTAAATATTCTGCTCTAACTATGTCCACACAAAATATATTTAAAGTAAAATGGCACAAAAAAAAAGTTATCCATTGGGTTTGTGCTCAAGGGTCAGACATCAACTAAATGTGTCGAGAGTACGGAAATGTCGCTTAACATTATTCTTAATACGTTGAGTGAGAATAAAATGGAAAAAGGGGATGAGTGAGCGCGATAGTATATTCAATTGCTATATATAAGACGACAAGTATTGGGTTACTTTCCAGAGTACCTGCCCCTTCACATGTAATAGCTATTATTTTATATAATAAAATACCCAGGCTCATTTAATTCTTGTGAAATACTTCATTGTACCAAGACAGAAATTTTACATCAGAAGTGTAAATCAACACTAAAACATAATTCATATCTTTATTACCCCGTGTTACAGGGCACACACAATGTTCAAGTATGCCCGAAGAACTAAATGAAGCAATTAAAAAAAATAATAATAAAAAAAAGCATTAGAGAGATAAAATGCATTTAAAAATAAGTGAACTGGCATTGCATTTCACAAAAATTCATAAGCTCATGATTTTGGAACAATTCACTGTAAAGTGCTAACTGGTTTGAGCTGAGGAAAGCACATGTTCCCTTTGAAAGATCATACACATTACTTTATACATGGAGGTACAGTAATAGCAAGTCATCAGGCAAGCCATTACCAACCAGAAGACATGGACCACAATGCATTGATTAGTCCTTTAATAAGATAACTGCTTCCTTAATTTCCTTGTTAATGGTAACAATGAGAATCTTGCCACTGGCTGCCAGGACAATGCCAATTACAAATGCTGGTGTTGTCACTGTACAGCTTTCCTTCTTTCCTTGTAATTACATGCAATCGACTGACATACAGCATTAAAAAAAACATCTCAAGTCAAGTCCTTCTAATCCTTTTACAGATAGCAATCCTTGAACCAAAAAAGGATCAGAGTCGAAGGAGAGGAGAGCAATTATTAAGGTGTGCAGGAAACCCTGACATACGCCTCCTCCTCTTCCCTCCTCCCTGGATGTAGTTGGCTGGCCAGACAAAAGCATCTGTCCAGCTGATGCCCGACTTCCTACAGGTCCTGAGAATCCGCTATTTTCCTTTGTGCCGCTCATTGGGAGGCACGTTAAAAAAAAGAAGGAACTAACAAAAAAATTTACTGGAGGGGATGTGGGTAAATAACTTCACCCCGATGTCCGCCTAAGGTGGACGTTCATCATCCACCCCAAAATCTAACCATAAAAAGGTAAAAACAAGGTGTGCGGCGGAATGGCTTTACTCCTCACAGTCTGTGGGGGGAGCTGGAGCCCCTAGAAGCTGAGGTGCGGTTGGTGGTCTTGCGGCTGTTTGGTCGTGTCCGATTTATCTTGGTGGGCGAAGGTTTCCGAGCGTCAGGCTGGCGCCTCCCCTGGGAGCCCCTCCGTTTGCCCCTTTGCCCCGCACGGCCCCTTCCGGCCCCCGCTGGTCACTTGCGAGAATGGAGCGTGTCCTGAAACTTGGTGCTGGTGTAGCGGACGTGGAATCCTTTTTTGTTGATTGTGTCGTCGGAGCGGAACTTGATCACAATGGAGTCACCGGCCGAGTAGATCTCCTCTGGAGGCTGACAGGAGGGACAAAGACGGATTAGTTTCTGCTGTCGCTTTCCGGTTCTTTGACCGCTCTTCAATGAAGAATAAAGACGCGTCACCCAGCTGACACGGATGTCAAGTCAGTGACTATGACGAACGGCTTCAAACTGCAGGTGCCTGCTGCTTTTTTTAACAACCAGGGGCCACATGAGGGTCCGGAACCGGCCCTTTCCAAATTGATCCAGATTAAGCCGTTGGCTGTTATTCAAGGACGCAGGAAATCTACGTTGCTAATTAGTTTGAGATACACCTCTTTAAAATAACTAATTTCTTCCGTGAACAAAATGACATACTGCTTCATATATTATGTACGTCTTAAGTACAACGTCTGACAAACTACTTTCATTAAAACAGAAATGAGGGTAATAAATATCAGAAAATATGAACTGGCTGTTTGTCAGAATAGTTGAACCGCATGAACATCCTACTGAACTGTAATTAGTTTGTCGAGGCAGGACAGCTGCTCCGTGGCTACGACAAAGACAACGCTGTCAAGTCACAGCCAGCGAAGCCCGATCAAAGCTGCGATCCATGACATGACTGATAGCGTACGAACTTACTACAATACTCCGTGTGCGGTTTAAGAAAAGCCCTCGGGCTGAAAGTAAGCCTCCCAGCACAATAATGAGTTTTCACCCTACTTTGGAT